AGGTATGAAACACAATTTCATTCACAAATAACATTTTTTTCCTCACAGAACATATCAGAGCCTTCAAGTATACCCGAAAATTGTATCAGCAAGGCTATCAAGAGAATTTACCCAAGATACAGAATTATTTTACTGAAAAGTCCAAAGGTGGAATGCCGTCATGGAAACACATTTTTATGATACTTTTCAACATATAATTGAGGATGCACTGCATATAATTTCAATAAAGTAGGATTTTAATATAAATATATCATAGAAAAGCCATGATTATGCAGTAGTTAAGTGCTGGACTGCTAACCAAAAGTTTGGGGAAAGCCTAGTTCAAGGGGAAAAGATGTGGCTGTGAACTTCTGTAACTATTACAGCCTAGGAGACTCCACTTGTAACTATTACAGCCTAGGAGACTCCATTTGGCAGTTTTGCCCTGTCTTAGAGGGTCACTGTGTCAGCATCAACTCAATGGCAACACGTTTTGGAATCTATTTAAGTATCACCTAACAAATACTCATAACAAAAGAAAACTAGCTATGGGTTTGGTGCTTAACGTTTTTAAGGGAAAAAAAAGGATTTTATCACTTTATTTTGTTTTGGATAATAAAATATGGAAGTTATTTTAAAATTGCATGCATTTTCACATACAATTGAAATTTTGGTTAAATTATTTATAAATTAAATTATTTAATACCTCAAATAAATGAGTACTCCACAGCAAAACCACGTTCATATAGTTGAATAAGATTTATCTGAAATGTTTTGTCAGTCTTACCTGTTTTTTGGTCCAGAGGTTGACATTACTTTTCCAAGATCATCCTGTCACTAGATTTTCTGACATTGTAAAAGAGATTTTTCAAGTTCCAGTATAATATCCTCAACCCTCTCCCGGAGTCTTGGCATGATACTGTAGGATAAGCACAGGACCTCAAGGTGTGTTTGAACTGCAAGGTTGCCATTTCAAACTCACCAGTAATTCCTCAGAAACAGGGTCGCTGTGAGTTAGAACCGACACAACAGCACTTAACAACAACTACTTTCCACCATTGCTGTTTTATTTCAGACTTATATTGATTAAAGCAGACTTGCATGGCACTGTAGGACAAACACTGGACCATGAGGTCATTTTATACAACAAAGTCAATGGTTCAAATTCATCAGTCGCTTCTTGGAAACCTATCCATTATCTGTAAGAGTCAGAACCAACTTGGCACTTAAAAACACTTGATTAAACAATCTGAGAAAAGGGTTTTTAAATTACAATCTAGCTAACATTTCTCTTGCTTATGTTAGTCAAGTTTTACTTTAATTTTAAAAATAGACTGGTTGTTTATATGTTATCCAGTATGTCTTCCCATGTTATTTCCTTTCATTGTGCTTTTTAATATCTACCAAATTCTTTTTTTCTCTCAGACTCCCTTCAGTAAATATTTTGTATTCCATGAATTCTTGAAAGATAAAGAGACATGAGAGGAAATGAAATAAAGAGACAGAGAAAGAAAGGATGTAGAATGTTTTTAAAAGAACTGTGATTTTTATAAAACACAAAGAATACATTAATTCACATTTTATTATTTGATTCATTCATTAATTGTTATATTAATATAACTATTAAATGACAATTACAAATTATTATAATTAGACATTTATGTTTATATTCTCAAGAGTTAAATACAAATTACCTAGAGCTAGCAATTTAATTTAATTATGTTTCATAGTTTAGCATTCTCTAAAGATCAAATGAGCATTTTTGCTCTGTGGTTCCACAATTATAAAGCTATTTATTGTAGGTACTAGAAAAGTCTCACACATGAATCTGTGAGGAGCATTTCTGAGCAAATGAAGTCATGTGTTTTTCTCTCTTCCCAACAGTAATTTAAAGATGATTAGTTACTCTCTTCTTTAAATAGGATAGACTAACGTGGCAAAACTGTAGCATGTGATAAATAGGAAACATTTGTAGAAGACTGAATGTACTTCCACTCTGTGTGTGATAGATTTTTCATTTCCTTTTAATGATGTTGTTAATACTGATTAAAGGAGACTTGTATGGCACTGTAGGATCTTTTTATACAACAAAGTCAATGGTTCAAATTCATCAGTCACTTCTTGAAAACTTATCCGTTTTCTCTAAGAGTCAGAACCAAGTCGGCACTTAAAAACACTTGATTATACAATCTGAGAGAAGTAAGCGTCTTTGAGTCAATTCCAACTCATCTTGCCCCTGTATAGAGTTTCTGAGGAGTGGTTGGTGGGTTTAAGCCACTGACCTTGCAGTTAATAGTCCAGTGGTTATCCTATAGCAACAAACCAGTTGCCCTCAAACGAGCTCCAATAAGGGCAACTCCATATAAATAAAGAGCCCAACATTGCCTGGTCCTGCACTATCTTCACGATCGTTGAGCTTCTCCAATCCACTGCTGTGCTCATTGTGCTTTCCAGCCTGGTGGCAGTCCTGGTGGCACAATGATTAAGCATTGGACTTCTAACCAAAATATAGCCGTTTGAGCCCACAAGCTGCTCCACCAAAGGAAGATGTGGCCACTTGCTTCTGTAAAGATTACAGTCTTAAAAACCACGTGGGCAGTTCCGTTCTGTCCTGAAGGGTCCTTGTGAGTGAAAATCAACTCAACGAAAATGGATTTGGTCCAAACTAAGTAGTTTGTCTTTAGCATTATATCTATCAATAGTCTGTTATGATCCATAGTGTTTTTATTGGCCAATTTTCAAAAGTAGATTTCCAGGTCTTTTGTCCTTGTCTGTCTTGGTTAGCTTCTTTCAAAACTAAGCCTGTCTAGTACAGGAGATCCTGATAGTGTTTGAGAGACCTGTGGCAGAACTTGCAGCATCATAAGAATGCTAAAGACACTATAGTATGACAAACTGACAGACAAGGGCGGTGCCCTTCATTCTCTTAAATGCTTAAATTTGGTGATTAATATCACTTCACAGTGGATTGAATATATCATTCTATGGCACAATGAAACAAACAAAAAAAATCCTGAAATATCATTCCTAAGTAAGTTGAATCTAGTATCAATACTGCTTTAATCAATGAGAGTTTCATTTGAAATACTGGTGCCTCTTTGATTTTTTTTTCTTTACTTCATGCGTCGTTTTCATTTTCATAGTCCTCTAAGTGACAAAGTTTGATAGTATAAAAGGCATAAATAATAAATGAAAACCAAATAGTACTTTGTGACAAAAAGAGTGATTTTATTTCTATGTTGTTGTTATGTGCCGTGGAGTTGGTTCCGACTCATAGAGATCCTGTACAGGGATTCTGAAGCTGTAAATCTTTACAGGAGCAGAACACCTCATCTTTCTCCTGTGAAACAGCTGGTAGTTTCGAACTGATGACCCTGAGGTTAGCAGCTCGATTCGTAACCACCACACTACCAGAGCTCCTTTTTTCTATAGGCATAGCTTTAATAAACAACTTGATTAGTAATTATCGAGTAATATTTATTTCATAGTTGCTTCAAGGCTCCATAAACAGCTATAATATGTTAAAGAAGTGGCTCTGCCTTTTTTAAGCAGGAATAAGTCTCTAAAATCTACTCAAGGATTTTACACATCTAATGAGCATACAAATGGAGAACATAAAATACCCAAACTCATTACGGACAAATGGATTCTGACTCATAGTGACCCTGTAGTAACCTAGAGAGTAGATCAGCCCATAGGATTTTACAAACTAATGTGGCTCTATAGGATAAGTACTAGACTGCGAATATCAGGTCAAAAGTTCAAATCCACCAGCTGCTCCTCAGAAACCCTGTACAAAGTTGCTGAGTTGGAACCTACCAGATGGCACTTAATAGCCACAAATATAATCACTGAGAAATCAGTGGTGGTGCAAGTGCTTAATGACTGTACCACCCTCTGAATAAAGCAGTATCTTCAAATTCTTATTAAATTAAAACCTAAAATCAATAATTATGAGATCATAAACTACAAAGGTAAAAATGGACAATATTGTAGTATATATATAAAAGTAAAAGAAATAAACAAAAAAGTACAATGTCCTCTTTTTGTTTGTAAACAAGGTGCTTTATCTCCTGAGTACCATCTGCTGTCCTGTCCGCCGCTGATCTAGAAATACCAACAGAATGGCATAATTAACAGATGAGAGCATAAATAATGTTTGGGTCATCCAAAGCTGCATTTTAATATAACTTGGAATGTAAGTCTAAATTATCCTATTCTCTGATCATTAGAAAATCTATTAAATTTAAATAATTTTCACAAGGATTTTGTAATTTCAGTTTAATCCATTCTTATGAAGTAAGTGCTGTGGTTCTCATTTTACAATAGTGGACCATATGAAAGGTGATTCTGTGTACTCAGAATAAGTATTCTAGTGTGTACTTTCAATGATAATGCTTCTAGATTTAAAAAATTTTAGCTACTCATTGGTCTTTGGGAATTATCAAACACTTTGCTTTTTTTGTTGTTTTGTTTTGTTGTTTGCTTGTACATTTCTTTTAACAACATAAATTTAGCCAACAAATAAATAAAGCCATTTCTTTTTATTTATTTATTTACAAATCAATTTGCATTCCTATGGACTCAATGATTTTGTCATTGCCTACCCCATCTCAAGAAGGATGTAGTGGTTCAGCGGTAAAATCCTTCCAAGTGGAAAACCCAAGTTTGATTCCTGGCCAGTGAACCCTAAGTGTTGCTACTATCCATTTGTCAGTGGAGGTTTGTGTTTTGCTGTGATGCTGAATAGGTTTTAGCTGACTTCACAATTAAGGTGAACTTGGAAATAAGGTCTAGAAACCTGCTTCTAAAAATCAGGCAATGGAAATTCCATGGACCACAAGGGTCCCATCCCATTGTGTATGGGGTTGCTATACATTGACAGTCAACTCAATGGGCGTTAACAAAACCAGCAACACCACATCACTGTCTGAGACGTTATTACACATTTCTAAAAAACAAAGATGAAAATGTAATCAGGTGCCCTCCGTTTTCACAGGATATCAGGATACTTGACAGAAATGTCTGTACGGTCATCAATGCTGGATTCATATAGGAGTCAATTGAAGAATACTTCTGAAGTCACCATGTTTATACTGCTGGGCTTCACAGATGATACTGAGTTGCAAGTCTATCTCTTTTTATTATTTCTTGCAATTTATATGTTTACTCTGGTGGGAAATTTGGGACTGGTTTTATTAGTTGTGGTAGATTCCCGACTCCACAACCCCATGTACTATTTTCTGAGTGTATTATCTTTCTTAGATGCCTGTTATTCTTCAGTCGTCACTCCAAAAATGCTGGTTAATTTCCTGGCAGAGAATAAAACCATTTCATTCTTTGGATGTGCAACACAGATGCTGCTCTTTGTTACTTTGGGGACCACAGAATGCTTTCTTTTGGCGGCAATGGCATATGATCGCTATGTAGCAATCTACAACCCACTTCGATATTTAATTAGTATGTCACCCAGAGTCTACGTGACACTCATTATTGCTTGTTATGCCGGGGGTATTCTGCATGCTTCTTTTCACACAGTAGCAACTTTTAGCCTCTCCTTCTGTGCATCCAATGAAATTAAGCATGTCTTTTGTGATATTCCACCACTCCTTGCTATCTCTTGCTCTGACACTCATATCAACCAGCTTCTACTTTTCTACCTTGTGGGTTTTGTTGAGATATTCACCATCTTTATTGTGTTGATCTCCTATGGTTTCATCTTATTAGCCATTCTGAGGATGCGTTCTGCTGAAGGCAGACGAAAAGTTTTTTCCACTTGTGGCTCTCACCTAACTGGAGTGTCAATTTACCATGGGACCATCCTTTTCATTTATGTGAGGCCCAGTTCCAGCTATGCTATGGACCATGACATGATCGTGTCTGTATTTTACACCATTGTGATTCCCATGCTGAATCCCATTATCTACAGTTTGAGGAACAAAGACGTAAAAGAAGCAATGAAAAAATTGTTTGAGAGACTTTGGTTAATAAATAAAATACATTTTTAGCACTGAGTAAACTGAAAATAATGTTGGATACTAGTCCATATTACTGTTATAATTCAATTTAAAAAATGTCTTTCTTCTAGTTAACAATGTACATAAGTCCTAGAATATTTTCAGAAAATCATTCATTATTCTTCCAATGTAGAATTTTACAAATGCAGATCAGTTGCATCATCTAGACATCCAAATGGTTATTTTTGCATATTAATTGGCACATATTAAACATTCAGTGATGGTTGGCTATTTCTAAGATGAGTATTTGTATAACTTGATTTTTGCTTATGATAATATTGATGTCCCCAGAACTCTATAACTTGGTTCAAACTCTCCATTCAGCAATCCTTGTTTCACACCTAGACCTTTCCATCATCTGGACATGCCATCTGCACTGTTTGGTTCTACACCATAGGTTGTGATATTTTGTTAAGGTTTTTCTTTTACATGGTCCAATTTCATAAATCAATTAGATTTACTCTGAAACTGGAAAATATATACTGAACCTAAACCGTATCAGTCGCTGTTGAGTCAACTTCAATTCCTGCAATCACATGTATATTAGAGTAGAGCTGTTCCCTACAGGATAGTCATTAGCAAACGAATCAGGCTGCGAACTGCAAGGTCAGTAGTTCGAAACTACCAGCTGTTCTGTGGGAGAAAGATGAGGCTTTCTGCTCCCATAAAGATTTACAGCCTCGGAAATCCTGTACAGGGTCGCTATGGGTCAGAACCGACTCGACGGCACTTAACAACAAGAATAGGATTGTTATTCATGGCTAACAGTGAATAACTGAACAATAAACAGCAATCCTATAGGTAAGAATAAAACTGCTCCAGAGGGTTTCCAAGTCTGCAATCTTTACAAAAGTAGATTGCCAGAATGTAGAGTTTGCTGGCAGATGGGGGAGAAGTGTAGTGAAGATCTCTGTCAGCAATAATACAGAACACCGGATGAAGCAGGTTCAGGGCACATTTCCAAAACTCTGAAACACATATATAGGAAAATTTTAAAAGCTTGAAGGCTTATAGCCAGTGGACTTTGTAGCAGAAGCAAGAAATCTTTTACTTTCTAATCTGCCAGGCTCAGCGGCCCAGAGCCACCATCTTGGGCAAGACCAAGTGGTGAGAAAAAGCAGGTGAAGGATCAGAGCCACCACAGATTGATGCCTGCCAGAACCTTGGAGATAAAAGTGTGACTGTTCCTTTTTTTTAGTATCTGTTCATTGGCTTCTTGTTGTCTGTGCACCTCCATTCTGTTGATGAGAGGGGGTGGACAGCCCACCCACCCCCAGACAGTCTACTATGCACGCACACAGATCTTCTCAAAATTTAAAGGGACATATTCCACTGAAAACGAAAATGGCAGTGCAAAACAGCAACAGCCAGCCCCGGACTGTTTATCACTTGGAAAAAAGGCCAGAATGGGGGTTGTGGAG